TGTGTGTGCACATATGTGCACACAGGAATGCGCGCATACTTCTTTCTATGAGCGGTGCACCTATGCACATTTTCTATTAGCGATGTTGTGCGCGTACACATATCTATGCGCCAGTAGCCTTATAGGAATTCCCTTACAGATAGTACCTGCTCAGAATGTCATTGTCCAACCAATCAGAGAGCCGCCTACTGTTGGGCTGTACCCTATCAGAGAGGCTTTCATGTCTTGCCTTCTCTATTTAAAGTTGGTGCAGCTCTCAGGTTACTGCAAAAACAATGCTTTTGCAAGCTATCTACCAAGCCCTGTACTTTCCTGCTATCCAGCCTGCTTTTCACCATTGCTTCCCACCTTCCTGTCTCCACACTTAGGGTCTTGAGTTGGGTAAACCCAGTGGTCCTGACCTGGGTTCAGCACTTAGAAAAACCCATCACCACTAGCAGGAACTTTGGTGAACGCCAGCTGGTCCTTAAACTCTGTGCCCTGGTGGATTCATTGTTACCTGCTCTCACAAGGGACCATCCACCTGTTTCAAGATGTTCTGATCCTACTTCCTGGTCTTATGTGTTCCAGAGCTATACTAGTCCTGTCTCCAAAACCATCCTCTCTTCAAGTGCTCCAACTCTGAAGGTCCAGCTCCCAGGTCTGATATACCCCGTGATGCCCTGCTTCACTCTGAACCAGCTCTCTACCTACACTCATTGGGTAAGCCTGCTATCTTTCTTTAGGTATCCTTTACATACAGCTAGAGGGTCCACATCCAGCTCCAATGACATCTAGCTCTTTCTATCCCAGCCTTACTGTGTCTGCCCATCCCTTTCATTCATTTGATTTTAATGGTTTTATTGAGCCTGGTGGAGTGGATGTTTCTAGGCAGATCACTTGCATGCAGATTGCCCTAGGTAACACACACATTTATTGCTAAACCTCATATTTAGGAATGACCAATGTTTACATCAGGGCTGAAGGCTCTTGAGAGGAGAACTGAGGAAGTGTACTATGATATTTTCAGAAAGTTATGCACAGCACACTGTCAGACCCTGCCAAAAGCCATGATCTCCATGTATAGCATAAAGAAGCACATAGACCCAGTGATGATGGCCAGGGTGTAAAATAAAATATGTAATAAAATCAAAAACATTACATGTAATAATTGCATTAGTATGTTGATTAGGATGGAAGGAGGAACCAGAGAAGGCACAATTTAAAGAGTAACTCGAACTTTTGTTGGGGAAAAAAAATATTCCCCTCTGGGTGATCTATGTATTTTGCAAGGACTTTAACAAATGTTGTTGATGATTCCTTTGTTATTCTGAAGAAATACAGTAGATGTTTGTCTGTGTCCATTTGCTGAGTGAATCTGTATGGGAGTGGTACTATGATTATCAAACAGCTGCTGCATCTTCAGGGCTCTAATGAGGAAAATTGCATGCCTTTAGAAATAATTTCCCTTTGTGAGTATCTCACCAAAATGACATTTTGTTGCAAGGGATGCTCAAAATCTGACATATCTTAGTGCAGACTTCTGGGAAAATCAGTAATACAATCATCTAAGAAGGAAATGACATTCCTGGGGAGCATTCTCTACGTCATCTGTGTGCAAAATACCTTTCGGGTAGCCATACATAATGCATTTCATTTGACAGAAAATTATAGCTCTGCAGATTGAAAAGGAAAGGTAATTTTTAATAACATTCAATTATAATATAAGAATCACAACCCCCTGATGAAGCCACGTGACCAGTGGCGTAACGCGTAGGGGTGGGGCTGCGTTGTCACTCGGAGAGAGCTGGAGTGTTTGACAGACGGCGGGTGCATGGCTGGACGGTTGGCGGATTACTTGAGCTGAGCAATTCATCCTATACCGCACACTATCTATGTGAGTGTACCTATTGGAAAGCAATAAAGCGGAAACCTTTTTATAAGGATAAAACACTATGTCTGGCAATTTGTTCCCACATATGGAAAAATGCACAAGGGCTAATTAAGGATAACGGATATCCACGTTTTTACAATCTGTAAAGGAGGAATTCCATCTAAACAGGTTCCATGGGAGGTGAACCACAAGTGTGAATAGCCTAATTGCAGGCTGATAAGGAGGTGAGCATACATCTTCACTGATTAAGGATTTAAAGAAAGTCACGGATTCACAATAAGTCACCAAATCAAGATTTAATCAAGCACAAAGTCACAGAAATTAAAGGACATTATTATCACAAATTAATTAGCAGTATTATATATATATTAATTATTTATTATTTTTTTGAATAATCATGATGCATATTGATTTATTTATATTCCTGTTTTAGTACACATTTTTATCACATATTGTTTTCGAGGGTATTATTTTCACATTTTCCATTTTTTCATTAGTGGATAATATATATAACAATTTTTTTTATCACTATATATATTTTTTATTTTTTTGCACATTACCTGAGTATATATTTGTTTACAAAAGGGTAAATAGAATTAATATCTTTGATACTCTCACTGGGAGCGCAACACATTATGAATTAATAATTCAATTATAATATGTTTTGTGTATCAGTTGTATTATTTATTTATTTATTGTTTTGCCATGAAAGCAGAGTTACCCTTTAAGCAGATTTAAGCTGAGTGTTAACATACCAAAAGGGAGGAGTTATGAAAAGTTAATTGTCAAGGTTTGTACAAATGTTAAGTTGTTCTCTTTTACAAATATATCTAAGCACTAAAAAGACAATAGTTCTGTTGCTCTCTCCTCTAGCTAAGCTGCTCGGTAAAATTTAGTTCTTGATTTCACTGTTCAGGGTTTGCTGAGCTGTGAGTTTGATTCCTCCCACTTCTTCTGAAAGATGTTTCCAGAATGTAATGCCCCATACACACGATGAGAATATCGGACGAACGATCGGCCATTTTTTTGCATGCTAGTCTCACATCGAAAGTGAAAAGGTTCCTAAAAGATACGAAACGAATTCTCCTATGAAAGAAAATAATTTTGAAAGTGATGTGATGTATTGCGTTGTATTTGTATTGTATTTTCAGACGAGTACTGTACTGATTAAACGAAAATCGTATGATCTGGTATCAAACGAGAAACATTTTTGTGCTTGTCCCTTCGGATATTGACGTATGAATTGTCGTGATCGGCTCTCAAAAGCTGTGTACTAACGATCTGATTATTGGACGATCGGTCCTCGTACGAACATTTTCGTATGATTTTCTTATAGTGTGTACAGGGCATAAGACAGAGATTCAAATGATCAGTATGAATATTTATCATATCACAGCCAATTCCTGGAAGGAAGCCTCCAGAAGGTGTCTGGGGAGGTGATAAAATGTTTAGGAAACCTTGCCAGATGGTTCTTTTTCCTCCAGGGAGAGTTTCAGCTCTCATGGGACTGCTGCCCCTGGAAGCAGCTCCACTAAGATAAGATACTGCCGTGTGGACCTTAGCAGCTGCTGGGCCGAGGGCCTGGAGAAGATTGCCTGAGCTTTACATTTGTTGGAGAGCACTGTATTGAAGCACTGGTCTGGAGAAGGATCTCATCTCCCTCACTAAGGACCTGTGGATGGTGGGTAGGCAGACAGCTTCTGGGATAAGTGCTGGAGGATGTAGTATGGACTGTGGTTTTAGGGTTCTAAATATTCTAGCCATTTCCTCTTACTCCCAGAATAGCTGCTATTGGAAGGTTACAGAGAAGTTTGCCCTGGTATTGTTATTACCGAATGGTTTGGAGTATTCTGTGAACCTAAGCCCCCCCCCCCTTCCCATAGAAGTTCTTTATCAATAAATACAAAAAAATACATCCCCTGGACAGAGTCTGAATTGCCAGTGTGTGTAGGAATGAGCATGTGTGATTGGTACTACTTTGGGAGAACCATTCTCTTTCCCCTCCAGGGGAAATCACTACAGTTCTTTTTTTTTTTTTTATTTGAAGAAAAATGAAGTCATAACACCAATCAATGCACCACATCACAAAACCTATTTAACCACCTCCCACCCACCATATAAGAAAATGACGGACAGTTGGCGGTTCTCTCATTCTGGGATGATGTCATATGATGTCCTCCCACTCTAGCTGCGCATGTGCGGTGATCAGTGGTGTGCTGTTTCCCTGGGATCACCGCTGATTGCATGTAAATAGGAAATGTTATCGGCAGTATTCGCCACACACGCTGTCAGCCGGTGAGCGGCATTCTTTAGAGGGGACATCTACATTGATCATCAGTACCACCTATAAGTTACAATCAGTGCCGCCTATCAGTACCTTCCTATCAGTGCCGCCTATCAGTGCCATATCTGAGTGCTGCCTTTCAGTGCCCATCAGTGATGCCTGTCAATGCTCACCAGTGATGCATTGATGCCCATCAGTGCTGCCTATCAGTGCCTCCTCATCAGTGCCACCTATCAGTGCCCATCAGTACAGCCCAGGGGCGGACTGACAACTCATGGGGCCCCCGGGCAATAGGGGATCATGGGGCCCCTGTGTCCTTGCCCAAACTCAAAAAAGCCTATGAAAAAGGTACCAGGGGCATCTCATGGGGCCCCCTACTGACCCCGGGCCCTCGGCAGTGCCCAAGTTTCCAAATGGTCAGTCTGCCCCGGTACAGCCTATCAGTGCACATGACTGCAGCCTCATTAGCGCACATCAGTGAAGGAGAAAAATTACTTATTTACAAAATTTTATAGCAGAAACTAAGAAAAAGCTTATTTTTCAAAATTTTCAGTTTTTTTAGTTTGTTTAGCAAAAAATGAAAAACCCAGTGGTGATTAACTAGTTGCCGACCGCAGATAGCCGAATGACGGCTGCACTGCGGCCGGCCAGTTCTGAGTGGACGTCATATGACGTCCTCCCAGAACGCGCTCTCCTGCGCGCCCCAGGGGGCGCGCACCCCGCGATCTCCGTGATCGCTTTCTCCTACGGACACAGCTGATCACGTGTTGTGGTAAAAGGCCAATCACAGCGGCCTTTTACCACGTGATCAGCGGTGTCCAATGACACGCTGATCACAGGGAAATGCAAGTGCCGGTTCTCGGCTGCACTTTCCTCACGCTGTCAGATCGCGAGGAAAGTACTGCCGAGAACCGGCAGTTGTCAGAGCGGGGATCGGCACCGATCATCAGGGCACTGATGATCAATGCCCTGATGATCAGTGCCCAGCAGTGCCACCCGCAAGTTCCGCCCACCTGTGCCCAGCAGTGCGCCTACTAGCTCCGCCCACCTGTGCCCAGCAGATCACCCACCTGTGCCCAGCAGTGCACCCACCTGTGCCCAGCAGTGCACCCACCTGTGCCACTCTGCAGTGTCACACACCTGTGCCCAGAAGTGCCACCTACCTGTGCCCAGCAGTGCCACCCACCTGTGCCCACCCACCTGTGCCCACCAGTGCCACCCCCCTGTGTCCACCCACCAGTGCTGCCCACCAGTGCCCACCCACCAGTGCAGCCCAGCAGTGCTGCCAGTCAGTGCCACCAGTCAGTGCCCAGCAGTTATGCCAGTCAGTGCCGTCTATCAGTACCCATCATCAGTGTCACCTATCAGTGCTGCCTATCAGTGCTGCATATTAGTGCCACCTATCCGTGACACCTCATTAGTGCTGTCTATCAGTGCCGCCTATCCGTGCCACCTCATTAGTGCTGCCTATCAGTGCCCTTTAGTGCTGCCTATCAGTGCCCATCAGTGCCACCAATCAGTGCCCATCAGTGCTGCCTCATCAACGCACATCAGTGAAGGAGAAAAAATACCTGTTTGAAAAATTTTATAATAGAAACAAAGAAACTTTTTTTTTTTTTTTCAAATTTTTTTGCACTTTTTTTATTTATAGCGCAAAAAGTAAAGTGCCCAGTGGCAATTAAATACCACCAAAAGAAAGCTCTATTTGTGAGAAAAAAAAGATCAAAATTTCATATGGGTACAATGTTGCATGACCACGCAATTGTCAATCAAAATGCGGCAGCGCTGAAAGCTGAAAATTGGCCTGGTAAATAAGGGGGTATATGTGCCTCGTAGGCAAGTGGTTAAATACCACTAAAAGAAAGCTCTATCTGTCTCAAAAAAATTATAAAATGTTTGAGTACAGTGTTGTATGACTGCCTAATTGTCATTCAAAGTACGACATCGCTGAAAGCTGAAAATTGGCCTGGGCAGGAAGGAAGTAAAAGTGCCCGGTAGACAAGTGGTTAAAAAGATGAACAAATAGATGGCACTTTATCCATAACAATTAGAACCTTAGAAAGCATGCTGAGTTTTAGCCAACATCTGAACTTTCTCATCTACTATAACCTTGCAGACAGTAAAAAAGGGAGCTTTAGTTTTATCATGCTAGTAGAGAATTTTACATTGCTTTTGTTTAGCAACTACTAAAAGATTTGTTCTTGATATGGTAATGATACTGCTATTTATAATGGCCCTTCTTAAGCAGACATCATCTGACCTAGCAGGCATTTCATTGTCCAGGGATATAATTGATCCTTAACATCCTGAGGGTGGCAGATAAAGTGACCTCTTTCTGTATTTCCGAGGCTTCCCTTGTGCTGGATCAAAATGTGACTGGATTATTGATGAAAATCAGGAAATCAATAAAAGAACCAACATGCTAGGACTACAGAATAACATATCCAAGCTGACAAATGTAGCTTTTTCAGTTCATGCAACTCACTGTGCCTCATATTTTCAGAACAAAAATAGCAACTCTAGGGCCTGAAAAAATATGGGAATTTAGTAGTCCTAACTAAGCATGTGTAGCACCCTACTAGATAGACTGTTAGGATGCTAGGTAAATGTAGTTATTTTTGGCTTCTCTGTAATCATTGAAGCAGCTGTTGATTTCTTTTGGCTGTTGTGCGTTTCACAGGCTGCAGGTTTGATTACTTTTCCATGCCTTCAGGGGACTTCTGGAACATAGGAGGTGGAGCAAGGAAAATGGACAGCATGAATATTTATTGTGCTACAGTCCATCTCTGTGAAGGTGTGCCAAGAAGGTAGTTGAAGAGCACATAAATAGTCTGAGACCTGGAGCAGCATTGTTTTAGTGCTGGGTCTAACCCTGCAGAAGGAGTTTCCAGCCTGAGAGCCTCTACCCCTTTGGGAAGACTGCTGGAATTTGCTGTATTATCATTGAGGTTCAAGCTGTGGCTTAGCTATAGGAGCTACTTAAAAAAAAAAAAAATTTTTTGAAGCTATGCAAGGGAACCCTCTGGTCTGCAGACCTCACTGAAGAGTGCCTGATGGAAGTCAGCAGAAGTCTGGCTGTCCTATGGCATTGTGAACATGAACCATCCCATTCACTGAAGAGTGTCCAGTGAATACTGGAAGGAGGAATCTGGTGATCCTGTGACATTGTGAGTACTGACCTGAGCTTAAGGTCCTAGTGACTATGTGTTGTGTTCTTTGGGTAGAAGAGCCAATGGTAGTCCTAACTGGGATATTTTAAAAAGGACTCAGTTCTGCCATCTGTACTTGATCCTGCATAGAGACTGATCAGAGAGGTTTAGTTTGATTTATTTTGTTTGTAGTGTTTTAGGGTTGCTGTTTGTTTTTGTTTTTTTTTTTGTTTGTTTCTTTGTTTTTTTTTTTAGGGGAGGGGGGCTTCAGCACCATTTTTTTGTGTTTAAATCTGTTAGGGTGTTTTATGTATTTATTTTATCTTTGCCAGGATCAGCAGCAGAAACAGCAGTGTGAAAAATTCGTTCCCCTTGTTTGCAGCCTAGCACTGCATAGTACTGCTGTGGTGCAACTAAAGAACAATAGATCCCAGCGCACTTTGTCATGGAAATTTTGTATTGTTGGTCGAACTTTAAATGTGTCATATATGAGTGTTATTCATATGTCTCTCGTGTGGCTTAATTAAAGCTCTGAAGGCTGCAATTGGGCCATGCGCATGTACAATGTATGTATTACAGTACTCAGCTCGGTAATGGATGAGATGGCGGATCTGCGCTTATAGACCGGCGTGTATACCACCACGGCATTCGATGCGAATGCCGCTGGCAGTAGACCGCGGGCCTGTATCCACATATCAGCAGCATAGTACCACATGGGCTTCATAACGCAAGGCGCCAAGCAGTGTGAACTCCGCGTGTAGGCTTATGCATATCTTACAACCCATTACTGACCTGAACTGTATCTCGGATGGATGTGTTTTAATAAAGATCGTATCGGGCCCATCCAGGTACAGACTGATATTTCTAGGGGATGCTTTTACAGAGAATGGACATACTGCTAGGAGCTGGGAAATATGACCTCAGATGGCTCATGGGGGAAAGGGGAGGAAGTCTGCTGACCTCAGAAGGCTCATGGGAGGAAGGGGAGGAAGTCTGCTGACCTCAGAAGGCTCATGGGGGAGGACCAGTGATAGATAATAGGAAAGGCTATGCTCCAATCAGAATGTACATCCTGTGTATAGGCACTCCCCATTGCATTGTTCGGTGAGAGGGGATTGACTTTATTCATGTGGGGGGCATGTGTGTATTTTTAATAAAACCAGGGGCTGAGTCTGAAACGGCCCTTTATGTGGTTTGCAACACTAGCCTTAGAGTGTCGTGTGATCATTCTAGGGTAACAGAGCTCTAATTCCCCACATTTCAACAGAAGCTAACCAATTTGGATGGGCAGGAATCGTGTAATTTAGCTGCAGTCGTGGTAAGCGAGATTCGCACAGCTTTATGGGGGATTTCTACGCATCCAACTGCAAGTACTCACGGTAAGGAGAAATTCGTTAACGCGAATTTCCAAGACAGTTTGGCGAGCCTGGTGGATACTAACGCGTATTCTTGCATAGCTAACCAAGCACGAGGGGGGAATGGGCCATCATGAACTAGCAAAAAGTATGCCGGCACATTTCAGGTCTCTCTGCCATTAAGAGAATCGCTTTTTGCGTGTTCGTGTGGCTGATTTCGCTCTCGGTTAGCTAACAAGAATTACCGCTTAGCAAGGACCTAGTTTTTTGTCCTAAACTCTTGATCTGTGGGTGAAAGACGAGGGTTTTCTCTGCTGCTGAGAGCAGCAGAGGGGTGGGTTTGGTTGGCTGGATTTGGTCAAGTTTAAAAATCTTCCAACCAAAAATTAAACGGGTATATGTTTTAGTGGGTAAAAGTTGTTGCATGTTTAGGTAAGTATTTGCGGGTTGTAGGTACTGTGGTGATTGCTTTACCCCCTCCACGTGAGGTAATTATTACAGTGCTGAAAGGTTTAGGTTAATTGTTAACTGTTGTAAGATCTTTGTATGTAGTCTGTGCAGTGTTTTGTGGTACTACTGCTCCCAGCAAGCATGCAGCAGGGGGTCCTTTCTGTTACATGTGCATGTTAGTGTGATATGTTGGTGTTTTATGTCCGTTCTGTGATTGTGCCCAAATTGTGTTGTATGTGTGCTGTATATTGTTGTGTAATTGTCCAGTGTATGTTCTGTCCAAAAGTCTGTTTTATGTAAGAGGTTAGAGGCAATTTTGAGGCTAGTTGCTACCATGTGCTTCCCTGTGGGGGGCCATTCTAGTATCTACCATGTGCTCCTCTGTGGGGGGTCATTTTCTTGACTAACCACATGTACTCCTTTTGTTTGGTGGCTATTTTGTTGGCTACCATGTGCTTTCCCTGTTGGTGGCCATTTTGTTGAATACCACATGTGCAGTAATCTCTATGCAATGTGTATGCAGCTTTCTATATGCATTTGACCCATATTGTGTTTTTAATCCAAATTTTTTACAGTTTAAGTTGTTTGCTTTTAGCTTTAAATTTGCGTATTGCCAGCCAATTTAAAGTATGTTAAGCGAGTTTTCCCCTCACGTGTTCCACATTTAGTGAGCGCGGTGAAGTCTGGGTATTTGCACATAGATTTCTTGTATAGTGATTATGTTTTTCTTGTGTTTTTCCTGTTAAAAGTAGTTCCTTATTGTAAAGCGGGTTTGTTTTAAGTTGCTGTGTCACGTGTCGCGTCCAGCAGACTTTTTGTGTAAACGGTTCTAGGTGGTTGCAGTGAAGATTGCGTGTGTAATGCAGATCGTTTAGCGGTGCTGGTATGAGTGATTTTTGCGTCAGCAACAAGGTTACTTTTGGCGCAGTTTTTTTCGGTTTACCTCTGTGTAATTGTTTTACTGTGAAACGTCCCCGTGTTTTTCATAAGGATCCACTTTGTCCTTTTTAACGGTTTTTTAGGTTGAAAAGGGGTTTTTTCTGTGTGTATTAGGAAAGTTTTTTTCTTTACACAAATTTCCTAAAGGTCAGTTAGCAGGTTTCCGGCCAACCAGTGACCCCTAAGTAACATCTAAGAACCCCTCTTTTTGTTTTGACTTGTGTTAGCTACTGTGTGCAGGGAGAGAAAAGCCACTTTCGTCATTGTGCGGTGTGGCCTGCCAAACACAGTGGGTGATGAGAACCACATAAATTACGCTGTGCG